AAGACTGAAAATAGTTCCTTTTTTTATACAAATTTTTGAAAACAAGTTGATAATTTTGTAATTAAAAAGTAAAAACATGAAATGAACACAAAGGTATATGAATCCTTATAAATCATCCAACTAAAAACATGTAGGATATATAAAAGAGATAAAAATAAATAAATAAATGTTACGCAACAAATTTTATATTAATTAATCTTCAACTAAGAATTACTTCTAGTCTTTTCGCTTAAAGAATTTTCACTATCAACATTTGTAATAAGATGTATATATTCTTCATCGTCTCTCCAAATTAACCTATAACAAACATATGTAACATGCATATTCTTTATCCTCTCTCCAAACTAAACACAAACATAAATATTAATTATTTGTCATTAAGTCTCCCCTTAAACTTACACAACAAACAAAAATATTCTGTATACACTTCGTGATAATATAAAACTTGAGCATAACATTTCAAACCTTTGTAATACAAAGAAATATAAATTAAAGTTAAAATTAACTTAGTGTAATCGTCCAAAAGAATTATAAGGAAAAAATCACATGTTTTATATATACCTACATGTTTTTCTATGTCGTTTTGATTTTTTTATTATTAATGTGGTCACTACAAAAATGTTATATATAATAACATATGAAAAACGTCAATATAGATATAATATATATATATATATATATATATAAATCTATATTATATATTTATACACAATTTTAGTGTTGATTTTGAATGAAATTCAATAATATATATTATATGTGATTATAGCCTATACTCTTATAAGAGGATTGGTGAAGTAACTCATCAAATAGTCTTACCCGCATCTCTTTTTAATTTGCATATAGTATCATTCATGTCTCTCAACTTCGTAAATATGTCTATGACTCTTTTCACATCCTTGAATCTGACGACATTCAATTGAAAGATAATTTTACCTATAAAATTGTTCCTTTGATATCGATGACAAGAGAGTGAAACAACTAAAAGAGAAGGACATCCATTTAGTTAAGGTTATTTGAGAAGCGAAAATGGAAAAGAACACTACTTGGGGGCTAGAAAGTCAAATGCGAGAGTCGTATTCAAACTTATTCACATCAGGTAATTTCATGAACAAAATTTCAAAAACGAGGGGGGAGTTCTCAAATTTTTTTGAATAAATTAATAAATAATTTTAAATAATTAATTAAGATTTATCTTGTAATTATGAGTGTTATTAATTCAAAAGGAATCTTTCAAAATTAATTATTAAGTATTGTTATTTAATTATTAGAAAGAAGTAATTTATCATGGTTAAGATTATTTTTACTAATGGGTTACAAGTGAGTTAAGGCTTTAGATTGAGTTTCCTATATATAGAATAGTAAGTTAAGGTTGTCTCTCATAAAACATTAATTCAACCTTCTGTGATTTGAAGAGGAGGGAGAATCGAAGCTGTTAGAGTGGGAGGACTTAATTCCACATTTCCACAGAGATGTAAGAAGTGTGAATGTTTGGGTCATGACTTCACAGGGTATTTGAACAAGGAGATGACTTGTTTCAACTATCGAGGGTTAGGCCATATCTGTATGTAATTTCCATACCTGAGGAAGGAATACCTTGTTGGGGTGAGTTCCCAATTGAATAATCGAGGGTTACTAGGAGACTTTCCGCTCTTAGTGGTGTTAAAACAACTTAATCAGAAATTTGATACACAATACTTGTTTCATAATTAAGAAACCTCTCATTGTACTATTTGATTCTAGTGTAACTCATTCTTTTATTTCCCATGTTTGTGTCTAAACTTTAAAATTGTCTGTCTTGTTTAAAGTATCATTTGGTTGTGGAGACCCCTACTGATGGTTCCATATATACGTCTAGTACTGTCTATTTAAAATGTCATGTTGTCTCTTAGTTAACTAGATGTAATTCTTGAAATGGAATGATTATCTCCCAACAATGTCCTATTAAATTGCTTTGATAAAGCAATTTCTTTTGGTGGGAGTAAGAGTGCAAATTTTATTTATGTCAATCAAATTAACTCCTATTTAAAAGAAAATGATAAGGTATACATGATACTTGTTTGTTTGAAACATAAGAAAGAAATGAGTTAAGTAGATTCCCTTAGTGTTCCCGATAAATGTATCTAGTTTATAACTTGAGAGAGAAACTAAGTTTGCCATAGATTTAGTACCTGATACAACCCCTATATTTGTAACACCCTATAAGATGTTTCCTAGTGAGTTAACTGAATTTAAGAAATGGGTAAAGGAACTCCTAAAGAAACAATTTTATTTGGCCAAGTGTATCACCTTGGAAGCTCCTATGTTACTAATTAAAAAGAAAGATAGAAGTATGGGACTTTGTGTGGATTACTGTCAACTAATAAAGTGACTATTAAGAATAAATATCTCTTGCCTTGGATAGATGACCTTATGGATCAACTAGTTGGGACATGTATTTTTAGTAAGATAGATTTAAGATTAGGATACAATCAAATCCGGTTAAGGTCTTAAGATATTCTAAAGATTACTTTTAAGACCCACTATGAACACTATGAGTATCTGGTTATATCTTTTGGTGTGACTAATGCACTTGGAGTTTTTATGGATTACATGAATAGAATTTTCCATCCATATCTTGATAGATTCATAGTAGTATTTATAAATGATATCCTTGTGTATTTTAATTAGGACTGAGGCAGAACATGTTAAGCACCTTAGAGTATTATTGTAAACCCTTAAAAATAGACAACTTTATGCTACGTTTTTCGAAAATCCTCGCAAGGAAAGTGAGAGAAGCGAGGGACATGAGTTAAACGTGGGATGCAAAAAACGCCTCAAGCCCCAAACATTGTTGTGCAATTGCATAGAAGATGGCCCAACCAAGAGGCATTCACCATAGGCCCCCAAGCCCAACCCTAGGCATTTTCTGTGTATTTTTTTAAATGTGCAAAAATGTTTGGGACTAATGACATTTTCTTTGTACTATTATTGACATGTCCAAAATAATTTATTGTGATAAATAATTTTTTAAGTTATTTATTTTTTAATTTTTTAATTAATATGGCCAAAAAGTCAAATATGATATTTAATTTTAAAAAATAATTAAAGACCGAAGAGATATACTTTTTATGTATTTTTTTTTACTTAATGTGCGACTTAATTTTGAATATAAATAAAAAAGAATAATATTAAAATAAAAAATATTTTTTTATAATAACATTTTCTGAAGAAAAAAAGTTACAAAAATTTATTAACTTAATTTATAATAATATTTTAATAAATATAAATAGATAATTATTGTTAAAAATATTAAATATAAGAATCAACTTTCATTCTCATCAATATGATGAAAGCATCTTAATCAAGTTTTTATCCACAAAATACACTTTTATTTCGACGATTCCACGGAGTCCACACTATTGTACACTATCCAAAATTTCATTTTATGTCTTCCCCACCCATAATAATGTTTGAAAGCAATGTTGATTGGCGGCCAAATAAACACTCATAAACAATGGGGGCAACTAAAGAAACACCACCCTTGATAAACTCCTATGGGACACCCAATTCAACATTTTCTCAATTTTAAAAGCTAATGAATGTTTACATATTAACCGATTAGAAACCATCCTAATAATTAAAGTACGACTTTTAAAGTACTTAATATAAAAGATTAAAAAAATGTTGTATAACACAATGTATGATTCAATAACGATGTACTATCGGTGTTTTACTTAAATTTTTATTATTAAAATTAACAAATTTACAACAATATGAATTAAATAATATTTTTTTAATCTTTATATTATAAGACTCACTTTAAAAATAAGAATCGATAATATTTTTTATTGATACAAAATATTTATTGATTTTATAGATGACAAATTTTTTTCGAAGAACTTTTAGTGTAGGCACTCCCCACTTTTTTTGTTTTTTAATATCTAGATTCAAACGGGAAACCTTACTTAACATAATTAAACTCAACATCTCTTACACTAATAATTTATTATTAAGAGGTAGTCATTTTTATATAACATTAATTTTTCTTGTTCATTTTTTTGTCTCTAATAAACATTATGAGTATGTGTTAAATAATGAAGTAGAGAATTTAAGAAATAAATATTTTTCTTTCACCACTTGAACTCTTGTAAGTGTCATTTATCAATTATTATTGGTATTGATACATAAACTTTTGAATGAAATAATACTTTTACATCTCATAAAAATTTAATAATAAATAATAAAAACTCAATATTATAAAATAAATTAAAATAACTACTTGATTATGTTATAATTGTTTTATAATAAAGACTCAATAAAATAATATAAAAAATTTCGTTTTATAATTAAATTATTAAAATATAATGATGGAACCCATATTTAATATTTGAATAAACTTTCATGTTATTCCTTGAAATAATAAGAATGAGTTAGTTTTTTTTTTAATAAACTTTCGTATGAATGAGTTATTTTAATCATTTTTAAAACACCTGGTTAATTTTATTTTTCACAAAAATTTATTCATTTTTTTACTTGAAATTTATTCATTTTTTAATGTAGTGGTTTAACTTTAATACATTGCGGGTCCTGAATTTTCTGAGATTTTTAATTAATTTTTAAACTGAAAAATATTTACAATTGTATTTTTGATATTTTATAAATTTTGTAATTACGTTTTTGAAATAAGTAAAATTATTAAAAACTGTATTTTCTGACAGTTTTCAATTGCTATAAACTATCTTAAGAATTGTTTTTTTTAAGAAAAGTTGTAGAATATTAAGAATTTGATTCCAATTTTATTTTAATTTAGAGACTTAATTAAAAATCTTTAAAAAATGGAATTACTGATGTATTGAAGTTAATATTCTTTTTAATATATGTTTCGCTTTCAATTTTTTATAAAAAGTTAAAGAAAAGAAATAATTCTTTACAGTACTAAATATTAAAAATAAAAAAATTAATTATCTTAATATTTCGTACTAATAATAATTAATAAAATACTTAAAAACCTGACCCATGTTGATGTCGTAGTGATACTGTGGAGAGAGGTTTGGACGTTATTGTTTGTATCGCAGCAGTAGCAAAGTCGACGGCAGCTGAACCCTATTTTGGTTATGTCGTGATTCACGCTGCTTTTAATTCGTCCCTCTTCCCCCAAACTCCAAATGGGTATCGCAAAGTTTCCAAATTGAACGCAAAAACGGAATCAGCGTCCTCAAATGCCTTCTGGGTCGATCTTCCTTCGATCCAGTTTACCAACATTTCGTTCGCCACTGGGGTGAGGTGACTTATCCAATTCATTCCACTTTTTTTTCTTCTTTATTCTTCAAATCGATATTTGTATTTCTATCTACTCTTTCAAAAAGGAAGGGCTTTTCTGTTTGGTTACATTTTTTTCTTAGTTTTTAGTTTTTTGTTCTTTTGGGTACAACAATGTCACTAGTTTCAACCTTTGACCTCCTTCAGACTACATTCACTCACAGTGGTTAGCATATTACATGTGATGTTTCTTTAAATTTGCCTCTTAGGATTGAACCTAGAATTGCTTAGGTGAAACATAAATAGTTGATCGATATTCGATAATTATCAACACATGGAAAGGGTTGTGCCAGCGTTTAATTGTGCATTCCTTGTAAATCAACAGCATATCTAGATTAATAATTTTGGTTCTTTAGTTAGAATTTAATTAGGATGTTCTGTGATACGAGTGTAAATGTATTTGATACTACTTTTCAATCACAATTTGTCCTTTGTAGTTACTTTGTTATCTTTTGTAGAAATAGTATCTATTTTAGAAGAACTAGATGGTTCATGATTAATTGATGGTATAAGAATTTCTTTACATTGATATGCATGAAAATTGAACTTGTATATTTGTTGTGCTCTTTTAAAATGAACATGAGTATATATTACAGGTATAAGTGTTTGGTCTGGTTTCTAACTTTTGCAGGTCTGTGATTCTAGTGTTGTTTTAGCATTTTTCCTGGATGGTAAGGAGTGCAACTTGCATGCGCAAGTTAGTGAAAAAGCACAATAAAGGGGATGGATCTAAGTCCCTGGCCGATACACTGGCGAAATGGAAAGAGTATAATGCCTTGCTTGAATCTAGCAACGAGGCTGAGAAGCCAGTTAGGAAGGTTCCTGCCAAGGGATCAAAGAAGGGGTGTATGAAAGGCAAAGGAGGGCCTGAGAATTCGCGCTGTAACTACAGAGGAGTTAGGCAAAGGACTTGGGGGAAATGGGTTGCTGAGATTCGGGAACCGAACAGAGGGAATAGGCTATGGTTGGGTACATTTCCCACTGCCATAAGTGCTGCTCTTGCTTATGATGAAGCAGCAAGGGCAATGTATGGCTCCTGTGCTCGCCTCAACTTTCCCAATGTTCAAGTTTCAACTTTGTCTGAGGAATCTTCAAGAAATTCTCCAGTTGCTAAGCAAACCGGTTCTGCTTTGACGATATTAGAGAGTTCTGAGTTCTTGGTATTGCCGAACAACTCTAGGGCAGACACAGCAGAGGATGATGACATGGAAGGCCTTTCCTTATCCTTAAGTGTGAAACATGAGGAAGGGGAGGGTGAATCCGGGTCCGGTTCTTCGTATCCTTCAGTGTCTTGATGTATGTTTTGAACATTCTGATCTGGCCATGGCTAGATATGTTAGCGTTCATAGTGGTGGATGATTAGCTTAGGATGAATGGATCTTGATGTTAGTACCTGGAGATTAGCTGTTGTATAACTTGGTTGAAAAGTGTTCCATTCTTATGGTATTGACCTAATGCAAACTGGATATCTGGTCAAGTTGTAACATGTGAAATGTATTTTGCCTTTCATGATAGATGACTCATTTCTTTTGTGTCTATTTTACGTCGGATAATGTTGTCTAATTTTTGTTTTCCTGCTAAAATATTAGTCTTTTAAATGTGTTATTGTGGGTTATTGACTTTCTACTTGGTAGTTGAATTGGGATACAAATAATATATTAGAAAGTCTATTTTTCAAATCATGAATTGAATTGATTCATGATCAATAAAAACAAAATATATATAATATATATATATATATATATATATATATATATATATATATAAATAAAAGCACTCTAGGCACATTTTAATATAAAGAAACATGAAAAAACATAAATATATAGTAACACTCAAAAAAATATTAGTGTTGTTGTTGCATAAACAAAACAAAATAGTGTTGCTACTATCGCACAAATTCAATCATACAACCTCAAAAAATAAACACAAAATGTCTTAGTCAAGATCCTTCATCATCTTTAATTCCAAGATCTACATCACTCAAGTCATCTTTATCTTCAGAAGTTCTCTTTCATTATCTTTAATTTCATCCTCATCTTTTATGATAAATGGATCATGAAAATAGTGAGATGCAAACAAGTTAAACATGAACGTCAAAATGGATCACGAAAAGTAAAACTCATAGAGTGGGCAACATAGAATCTATTTGAAGGGAATAAATTGACACTTTTCCTCTCTTTTCTATTTCTTTTTTCAAAAAAGCTATTTTTTTAGGGTTTTCAAAATTAGGTCACAATCCACATCCATATTCCTCTCTTTACCTCTCCTTGGTTTATGTTTCTTATGAGCCTATCAATATTACAGAAGAACAAATCTGTCATAGACTAAAATGGGGGCATCATAGAATCTGTCCATGTCTCAAATGTTAGTGTGAGTGTTTGGTTCCACGTTATGCAATAATAGATTCACTTCCAACCCAAGTTAAGGAAGGAAATCACGTTTAAAATGTACAAACTATGACTATTAGCTTCTGAAAACTACATTGGAGATGTGAAAAATCAAATATACGTGGGTTTATTACGTTACTCCAAACATAGTATGTCACTGCTGAAAACGTTTAACCAAGTTGTTTTAGAGATATAGAAACATCCCCTGGGGCCTAAACCCGTCGTTGCATATGTCAACTCAAGGTGTTAAACATTTCGTTTGATGTTTGTTTGGAAACTTCCTACATTCGAAATCCCAAGGTACAACAGGTATTTTTCTTTTCAATTATATATTAACGAAAAGCTTCATGAAATGAAGTCATTCATGATAATAGTGTTAAATAATGCCAATGTTAGTGACAGGTTTGTATTTTCCCGCACCAAGGGCGTGTCACTATCCAATTAGATGAAAAAAAAATTACAACTAAAGAAAACGTATATGAAATTCAAGTTGAAGAAAAATTATGCAAAGGAAAAATGATTTAAGTTTTTCCAAAAATTACAACTAAAAAAAACGTATATGAAAAAGAAAAGTAATTTAAGTTATTAAAATTAACTTATACATAAGTTAAATTTGTAGAAGTTTATTCATATTAGTTTTTCTAAAATATTTTTTTTAATTTACATATAATTTAATTTTAAATTATAAAAAAACTTATTTTATTTTTTATTTTAACTTTTTATAAATATTTATAAAAAAAATATTCGAAGAGTTCTTGAGTTTTATTCTAGCTTATGGGTTCCCATTCAACAATTAGAACATCAATGAACACACTTTTAATTTGCTTTTGATTTATTAGTGGAGAATGCTAATACCTATAATAAAAAATAACGAATATTTTTTTTAAACAAATTATATTTGAATAAAATGTAGAAGTATAAAAAAAAAAAGAGAGAGAGACTAACCTTAAATAAAGACAAGTAGGGATTCAATTTTGCAATATGTTATATGCAAGACCTTGTCTTGCTCTACTCAACCAACTTCTTGAGAAGTTCCATTGTCTATGTAAAGAAAAAAAAAAAGATTTCCATAAATATAAAGCTCCCTTATTCTCTTTCCACTATGTATAGATATTTTTTTAAATTAAGATATAAGAAATCTCGATGCTAGCTTGACATAGTTTGAACTCTATCGCTAATTCAAGTTCACTTCTTTTAAAATAATAGCTTTGTTTATTCATTTGAATGTCCATATACTTATCGATATTATAGTTAATCTCACATACTTATTAATAATTGGAAAATCAGAATAGGATTTTGATTTAAGATAAAAAAAAAAATGGTTTGAATCCAAGTTTAAAATCGTTTTAATTTTTAATTTTTAATTTTTTTTTTATTTTTAATAAAAAAATATCTAAAAAATACTTCTAACTTTATCCAAATAATCTAAAAAAACATAATTAGATATATTATAAAAATTAGGATCAATAATTATGAGATTTTTGTCTTAACAGTTTAAATCTAAGAACTAACCTTTTAGGAATTCTTGATCAGTCAACACTCTCTGCAATAAACATGGGTCTTTTTATAAGATCATTTTTTTTATCATATAAAAATTGATATAAAACGTCTCTTTCATTAATTATTTTTTTTAACAAAAAAATACTTTTAATTGAAATCATTTCTCTTAATTTAAAAGCACAAATAATCAATCTCCTTAATCTTAATGAATTAGGTTATTGAATATCATAAAAAAAAAGACTAAAAGAAATATACTAAGTCAAGAATAAACAACAAATAAATATTTTATCTATATTCATTGATTTATTGTATAAATTAAACAAATAGACATCATCGAAGATGTGTTGAAAATTATTAAAAAAAAACTCATTTTTTTTCTTATGCACAAGGTGAAAGAACACAAATAAAAGCATTATAAGATAAATAGAAAATTTGCACAAAATTTATTTAACATAGTTTAATCTCTAATACCTATGTTTACAACATCTTTATTATCTCCAAAATATATTACATATGTTTGAAAAAATTTTCCTTCAAGTTTTATGGATTAACACTTGAAAATCCTTCTTTGTATGACTTTTTTTTTTTTCTCATTTAGGATTGTGACCCTTTCTACATGTTAGGATGAACACAAAACCTAATTCCCACAACAGTGTGAGTTGCAAGTTGCAAGTGTCATCTCTTGAACCACCGATGAGAAACGAATTCCCATGTCACAGGGCACGAAGAGGACACAGTCACAGTCTCACAAGACACCACAACAACCACCCCCAACAGCATTGTTTCGAGCACAGCCCAATGTGTTGCGAGCTGAAACGATGCTATGCATGGGCTTCTACTGACAAACAAACACAACAGGGCCCAGTGATTGAAGGCCCAATGGGATGGATGGCGAGAGGACATTTACTTGTAATCACCTTCACCTGTCTCCGGCTCGAGTTACAAGACCGAAACATGTGGAACACCTACTATGCCACTTGTCAAAGATTGAGCCCAATCTAATCCTCATTCACGAATCTCAGCTACCACCTTTGGCTCTTTTCGTGCTTCAAGGGGCTCAATTAAGCACATAGTTTCAAGTGCTATGACCTAAATAAGTGATTCCCAAGAATTTTTTACTGATATAGAATTTTTTTTTAAAAAAGATTATCAAAAAGGCAGCTGTTCAACTTTATTTATATATCTAATACTATTTACTGTTTACGGTCAGAATTCGATTCTCGGAAAATCAAATTCTACGCTTTAAATTTTTTTTTTTTTTGTGTGCTTAGAATTCGATTCCCGGAGAACTGAATTCGATTTACTCCATTTAAAGAATTTATATAATCTGTACTTTTACTTTATAGGCATAATAATATATAAATTATACACGCTACGTACGTAAGACATTGGTATTATGTTAAAGTGGGTCCTTTTTCTCATATTTATCATTGGTATTATGTTAAAGTGGGTCCTTTTTCTCATATTTATCTGGGTGAATATTTTCTACTTGAAAATAATTTTTGCATCGGAATAATCAAAATTCCATAAAACGTTTATAAAATATTAATCTTACAGCACATTATTCAGTTTAATTATATGAATAATGTATATGCCAACAACCGGCATCAATTAACCATAGATTGTGCAAGGCATGTATGGTTTTGGTTTCTTATCCTATCGCCATTGGATTGTGTGTCTTTTTATTTTATTTTTCTTGATAGAATCCATGACATGTTTCACACCCCCCATTTGTTTGAAAATTTGGGGGAGGAGGTGGGAGGCAGGTGGATTGGATTGGTGAATGGAATTTGTTCAAAAATCACCTTTTTATATTATAACATGATAATATAATTAGTTATTAAAAACAATTTAGGAATAACATCATATCCAGAAAAATTGAAATAAATAAGTTATTATAGAAAAATACATGTGTTTACATATGTTTTATTTTTACTTATGTGATAAATTTAGGTAAAATAAAAGTTATTTTTATTTATAAATGTTTAGTGTAGACTTTTTTTAATCTATTAAGGATGTCTATTGCTTTCCATTTGGTAAGTTTCTATAGAAATAAATTAAGTGATATCTCTAGTTATAATATGTTTTATTGATTATTAATTAGAGAGTATAAGTAGTAAATTATTTGAATTAAAATATTTTAATGATATTTAATGTAAATAAAAATCAAATATTTGTATTTATATCTGTTTATTAATTATAAACAAAACTTTAAAAAATCTTTTATTGAACATACATAAAATAAAAATGCTAATCTTCTTTACTGTAAATTACATGTCCATATTATTTCTTAAAATGTAGAGAGATAATCTTGTTCTCAAAATACATATATTAAGTGGTGTGGAATGCCTGTTTGAATCTACACCATTACCAAACTATTGTTATTAATAATTTATATACCATAAATTTCCCGCGTCCTTGGAATAAGACATTTTGTTTCTGGAAGTGGATTACCATATCATGAGCTGTAAAGCTTAAAACAAAGCAAGTCTAAATCTTATATGCATTTGAACAGTGAACACGTGTCTCTTCTTTGACTTGCCCTGTATGGTAGATTTTAGAATTGGGTTATGTTAAGGAGTACTTCTCAAAAATAAAAAATATCCTTAATAAACATGTAATATGGTTTAATAAATTAAAATTTTGAAATA